TCAGGCATGTGCCACCACGCCCAGCTAATTTTGTATTTTCAGTAGAGATGGGGTTTCTCCATGTTGGTCAGGCTGGTCTGAAACTCCTGACCTCAGGTAATCTGCCCACCTTGGCCTCCCAAAGTGCTGGGATTACAGGCGTGAGCCACTGCTCCTGGCTGTCATCTTCTCATAAGGACACCTGTCATGTTGAATAAGGAGCCCACCCTACTTCTGTATACCTCATCTTAGCTAATTATATTCCCAAATAATGTGACCTTTCCAAGTAAGAAATTTATTTAACCCATGATGCCATATCAAATTGTTCTGACAAAAAAGAAAAATGACACTCTTGGAATGATTTGGCTTCCTTTTGCCCAAATAGAGGTAAAGATCTCTTAGAGACAATATACAGAGATTCAATTACTCAAAAATAGGCAGGTCCTAGACATAGAAATTCCATTTGACCCAGCAATCCCATTACTCGGTGTATATCCAAAGGATTATAAATCGTTCTACTATAAGGACACATGCACTCGAATGTTCATTGCAGCACTGTTTACAATAGCAAAGACCTGGAACCAACCCAAATGCCCATCAATGATAGACTGGACAGGGAAAATGTGGCACATATACACCAGGAAATATTATGCAGCCATCAAAAACGATGAGTTTGTGTCCTTTGTAGGGGCATGGATGAACCTGGAAACCATCATTCTCAGCAAACTGACACAAGAACAGAAAATCAAACACCGCATGTTCTCACTCATAGGCGGGTGTTGAACAATGAGAACACATGGACACAAGGAGGGGAGCATCACACACTGGGGCCTGTTGGGGGGAAATTTGGGAAGGACAGCGGGGGGTGGGGAGTTGGGGAGAGATAGCATGGGGAGAAATGCCAGATGTAGGTGATGGGGAGGAAGGCAGCACATCACACTGCCACGTGTGTACCTATGCAACAATCTTGCATGTTCTTCACATGTACCCCAAAACCTAAAATGCAATAAAACAAAAAGATATTTTAATCAGAAAAAAAATATAGGCAGGTCCTACACTCTTGGTTAAAGGCACTCATTTTTAACTTCTCCATTTGGACGTGAAGTGATTAGAATAATGGAGGTACTGTCTGGAGATCTCAACTTTCTGTTTCATTGTTTCTGCATTCAGTATCTCCATCCTGATGTTCTAATGTGATCTTTCGCAAGTCCCTGAGCTTACCCAGAGGCTGTCAGTTTATCTCTCTGTACGGTGGGACAAAAGAGACCTTCTCTGTGTTGCAGTCAGCTAAGCCTTAAGTGGACAGCGAATCTACAAAGTTATATCTCAGTCAGCAAATGTATTACTCAGGAGAAAGGACCAGTGACAATAGCAGAATGTGGCCAATTCTGTAGTCTTCTTGACTACTGACTAATGAGGAACCAAAGAGTCCAAAATAGCTCATTAGCCCTCACCCAGGAAATGCATCCCCTACCCAACTTCCTCCAGAAGTCTCTGGGTTCTACAGCTGCTATAACCTCATACCTTCCCAGGGCTTTCACCTCTGCACAGACGCCTAGTATGCTCTGCTCTGTCCAAAGCTTTTCTAAACTTCTCTAGGTACCAGAAGCACCCCTTGAGGGATGTTCAGATGAGGAAGGGGAATGGAGATAACAGCATCGGTTCAGATACTTCACATTTACATCTGTCTTGTAAAGAGTGCCAGGGCCTTATAGAATCACTTGAGGGCCCATTGCATTAATCCCAAGGCTCCCAAACAAGTGAAAGTTAGATCACACTAAAGCCACCTTCGTTTAGAGTTTGTGGTCAATCAAACAGAGCCTAAACTGAAATTTAATTTTGCCCTAGCAGTGAGAATTTGCTAAGCAAATTAATGCTAGATGGCAAACAAGGCTTCTTGAGTCTGCCTAAGAGCCTTTAAAGGACAACATGCTTTCAAGGCCTGGAAGCAGTCTTTTTACATGCTAATTACAAATCCTACAGTATTTGTGAAAGCAGGTTCCTCTGGGATTTCTATTAGCCAATAAGTTGTTTATTTCCAGTTTAAAGGGGGTGAAGGGTCTATGAATTATTGAGTAGCTACTATGTGTTTTGCCTATGCTTGGTGGTGAGAGATTGTTTATCTTCACAACCGTCCTTGGAGCTAAGCATTGCCCCAATTTGCACCTGTGGGATACAGAAGTGGCTGGCAGCACAGAGCTGGTAAGGGATGGAGAGGGGATTCAAGCGCTGGAGAGCCTAAACTCTGGAACCTGTGCACTCTCCTCCAGCCTATTACCAACCTTTGAATGTAATGTCTGCTTTTCTTAAAGGAATATTCTCCAATTCAGCCTTCTTAATATTTCAGAATAGCCCATCCCTAATTAGTTCAAATTAGTTAGCTTTGTAAACCCTTTTTCACTTCAGTAATGAGGAAAACGAGGCATTCAGCCAAGAAGCAAACTGTGGAAGGGTAGGTTGCAGTAGGTCTGGGCTAAGAAATGGCAGTCCATGGTGCTTCCTGAGAACTACCAAGGACTCTGAAAGAAGACAAGATGAAAAATCACTCCCTCTTTTAGATATATAGTTTCTTTTGGGAAGACGTGTTTTCACCACTCACAGGAAAGACTGCTTTCTAGCCTTAGCACAGAAATAGTGCTCAGATGATACCAGTGAGAAACAGCCTGAGAGGTCTAATCAACCTGGGATTTGTAAAAGGTGATGTCAGGTTGGTAGGTTTAACCCTTCGATTGCACCCTTTTCCAATACAGCTGTCACTGCCTACTAAGATAAGAAAAACTGACAAAATATTGGGAAATAGCTTCATGTTTTGAGAAATGCTACAAAGACCCTTCCCCACCCCCACCCATGAGACAATATCTACAAGTCACATCATATCTTTCCAGCTTAGACTTATTTTTAAAGCACACACAGAACACATTTTAGTGTAATTGGAGAATTAGTGCTTTTGTCCCAGAAATGAAACGGCTGTTGATTTCCAGGCTGCTTGTCATTAAAGAGAAGACTTGAAACACCAGAGGCAAGTTCAAACTCTCTTCTAAGATGCAGCATTCAACTTTACTTGTAGCTGATGTGCCAAGAGCTGCCCAGCAGCACAATGCATGAAACAAAACAGGTTTCAAGCAATTATAAGGCACAACGTATAAATCAAGACTTCAGAATATTTATTAAGGCTGAATTTTTTATTGCAAAAAAATACTTTCAGAAAAACAAATATGACTCTTAGGACTTATGAAACTGGCTGTTTGGATGCAGATCATCTTAACTGCTTGCACACTCCTTGATATCTTTTCAGCTAAAGAGCCATTCAGGCTCAGCTTCAAGCGCAGAGGAAGTGCAAATAACCCCTGCACTTCAGAGCACAGCTTGCTTTGCTAAGAGACAGTTGAGCAAAATCCCAGCACGCTCTGATTCATTCTGCCTGCTGATTGGTCGTTCTCCCTGGCCGCTGACATCATCCTGTTGCTGGGTGGAAAACTTATGCAGCACAGCCCTCATACAGACTTCAGATTCTTGTGAAGGGGATGTTGTTGTACTCAACCCCGAAATCAGATTGTAGCTCAAATGGAATTGGAAGATATCTTTTTTTGTGTGATCACTTCAGTCATCTTATGCCTCTTACATTATAGCGCCCTCCCAACCCCCATGCCGTAATCTAGCAAGGGCTTTTGTGTGGCAGTTTCTGTTCCAAGCCACCCAACCCCCAACAGCCTCTAGAATACAAGAGAATAAGAAAAAAACCTTATCGTTTGCCTTTGACTGTAGATGGAAGATGTCTTTCGCGTCTCCTAGATGGGGCTGGCTTTCTGATTAGCTCATTTGCCTTTACCGTCAGAATTAAACTATGTCTTCACTTGCTGCAAGGAATTGTGAAGTCATATTTAGGACTTTCTATTAAAAATGCCTTTTTACCTCTCATTTATTTTCCCAGCATTCTGTAAGCCTTAGGTAAACTGGGGAAGTGATGGCAAAGGCCAGCCTGTCTGTTGCCCTTTACAGTGTGCAAATAACTTTTTTATATGCAGTGCCTCATATGTTCTTCACAGCAGTCCTATGAATTAGCTACTATTACTTTCCCCACTCTATAGATAAGAAAACAAACTCCCAAATAGTAAATCCTTTGCCAGCCACATAGCTCGCACATGACAAAGCTGGGACTCAAACCCATGTTTTTTAATCCTAGTTTCTGAACTCCTTTCACTCAGACATAGGATCTTTCAACCTTCCGAGCCTAAGCGATTTGCAAGAACCAGTCCAAATTAAGTAGTTAAACCAGTGCCAGAGCCCAGCAATTCTTGTTCTTCACACAAGGCCTTTTCTTCCAAACCTCTTGGTAGCTCTCAAGACAACATTGGAGATGCGCTTAGATACACATTTATTTTAGAAATCTTTAGGCTTTCACAAGCTTTTACTGATTAAGTGCAGCTTTGAGGGAAAAATATAGAAGCCTAATAATTCAGATGCACATTTCCATTTATTACATAAGGCTTCTGTGAGGGGTAAGATTATCCAGTTGCAGGCTTATTTTAAGTTTTAATGGAATGACTTTGACAGAGCAGAAATAGCAGGCTTAGTAACCAGCTCAGTAACTTAGATGTCAGAGACATTTCCATGGTGGATAGCAGGGCTCCTCAGCTCTCAGGAGACACTGGATTTCTCTTGTTTAACTCTGGCTAGGATGATTAACCACCCTTTGCTTGGCTTTCATCTTTCCTGGCACAGCTTTGTCTTTTATCTCATTCTTTGCTCCAAAACCTTCTTCTCTTTAACTTTTAATACACACACAAAATATTTCAGCTTCCCTAAGTAATTTTTACATAAACAGAGCGGAAAACATGGATATACTTCACGGAACCTGCCACATCTGGTTTGCTCAGGTGAAAACCATACTCCCTTACACATCTTTATTTTTAAATGAGACAATGAATCCTTCAAAAAAGGCTTAAGAGATGAAAATGTTGGATAAAGGAATGAAAGAGTGGGGGAGAAAGATTAGTCAGACATAGAGGTGAATATTTTTATTTTCTATCTTGATCTTTATGACTGTAGCCCCAAAACACAGTGTTGTGACTTATAGTCACTATGTACATAGCTGATTCCACGCACTTTGCATTCTTCTCTCATCTTCCAGTTGCCTTTTTGGGTGGTGGGGGGACATTGCGGGGCTGTGTGTCCCCTGGACAGGTCTTCTACTTTCTATGTATGACTTAGGCACATGTAGCTCACCCTCAATTTCAGCAAAACGTTTTCTCTGAAAGTGACTTCATTTCACACCACTCAGATCTTCACATTTTCACTGCCTGTGGAAATACAAACTTACCGATTTTTGTCTTTCTGTGTTATTTGAAGGTAACAAACAGTTTGTTGTGCAGAAAAACAGAATCTTTGTCTCATAGACTCCCCAGAGTGAACCTGGCCAGTTCCTACATCCAGCTCTCTCCCTCCCTGTTCAGTGGACGTACCACACCTTTGTTCCTGCTATCTTTTTTGCCTAAAGTGTATGTCTTAAAATATGGCACAGTAAATGCTGAACAAAAACAACAATAAAATCCTATGGTCACATTGTTAGTGGCAGTTAAAACTGAAATTAGACCCCAACCTCACATGATTATTAAACGAACATTTTAATGATGAAAAAAGACATTAATGAGGTTTTTTAAAAAATGTGTGCAACATCCAATTCTGAAACTCCAGACAGGCACAGTGGCTCATACCTGTAATTCTAGCACTTTGGGAGGCCAAGGTGGGCAGATCACTTGAGGTCAGGAGATCAAGACCAGCCTGGCCAACATGGTGAAACCCTGTCTCTACTAAAAATATAAAGAAATCAGCCAGGAGTGGTGGGAGGAGCCTGTAATTCCAGCTACTTAGGAGACTGAGGCTCGAATTCTTAAGGCTTGAACTCCAGAAGGTGAAGGTTGTGGTGAGCCAAGATGGCACCATGGCATTCCAGCCTGGGCGATAGAGCAAGACTCTAACTCAGAAACAAGCAATAAACAAAAAAACAAAATTCCGGACGTGAAAGTCCATCCTGGGAGTCTGGGACTTGGAATCAACCCACTCAGCCCCCACTCCCACTTCATCCATTTCCCTTACCTGTTTTTTACTCTGGGAGATTCATTTTGCCCAGAAAGTAAGAGCAAATCAGGTCCACAACTAGACATTATGTTCTAAGCTAAATGATCTCTAAGGACACTTCCAGCATGGCATTCTATGTTTTTGAGCCCTTTGCAAAATCATGTGCTGGGTAAAGAGTTTAGCCTCTGGAATCAGGTCCCATTCAAGCTTCAGCTCTGCAACACACCAGCAGACTACAGGGAGAGACAGAAACCAAGATAAGAGTGGGGATGATTTAACCTCCCTCTGTCTATTTCTTTTCTTTTTCCTTCTTTCTTTCTTTTTTTTTTTTAAATAAATCAAGCAGAATAATGTACCTGCATCTTATAGATGAGGATTAAATAGGATAATAGCTATGAAATCCCTAAATCCCTAACACAGAACTGGATGTGGGATGTTCAAAAATCCCAGTAAATGTTGCCAAGTATTTTTGCCAAACTGATAGAAACTTGGATACCTTTAAAAAAAAAAAAAAAAAAGATGGAGAGGAATTAATGAAAGCAAATTTCAAAAATGAGTATCTGTGGTACTCATAGTTTAGTTAATCAAAGAAGAAGGCAAAACATGTGGGGACAGAATGAAAAACTATAAATATCTCAAGATGGTTTACATTAAAAGAAGATTTTTTTTCTTATTTCTCTTTCAATGAGCTTTCCCAAAATAAATTGTAGTTTTTTATTATATTTAGTATAACTGTTAACCAGAGTTCTATTCTCAAATTCCAGGCTCTTTCTACATGTCCTGCCAATGAAACTGGAGATCAGTGATAAGGAGGTTACACATCTCTTCTCTCCTGATTTCACTGCATCATATGTGGAATCTCTGAGATGATCTGAAGACACTGATAACTCCTGTGACATATCAGGAAGTGCTCCAAAGACCTAAGTGTATGATTCTGTGGAGCCAACACCAACACAAAAATGTGGGACCCAGTTCCTAACCACGTAGAGCTAAACTGGCTGCAGACCTGAGAACTGTCAGAAGGGCTAAATTTTATATTTTAACCCTCAAAATTTATCAAATAGCCTGGGTGTTTGGAAAGTCCATAGAAATCATGCAGGTTAGGTCACTGAACATTGTTTATTGAGTGTCAGTCACATGCAATACACTGTGCTCAATGTTGAGACCTTGGTGATGAATAAAATGGCAGCCCCATACTGACAGATACATGATATTAAAATATAATGTCACAAATAGTGTAGCACAGGTGTTCACAGGTGCTATGGGTGCCCATAAATAGGGCACTTATTTCTAGCTATAAAATAGAGGCTTTCCAGGTTAAAACATTGTATGGTACCCTACAGGTACTGACCAATCAATTAAGAACCACCTGGAAAGAAACCTTGACTGGTGCCATGCTAAAGGACTTAAGGACCCTCTGAGACCTGTCACCAATATTTTTTTTTTTTTGAGACAGTCTCACTTTGGCGCCCAGGCTTGAGAGCAGTGGCACGATCTTGGCTCACTGCAACCTCTGCCTCCTGTGTTCCAGAGATTCTCCTGCTTCTGCCTCCTGAGTAGCTAGGATTGCAGGCACACACCACCATGCCCAGCTAATTTTTCTGTTTTTAGTAGAGATGGGGTTTCAGGCTGGTCTTGGACTCCTGACCTCAAGTGATTTGCCTGTCTCGGCCTCCCAAAGTGCTGGATCCATTTTTTAAATAAGATCTTGAGTTAACAAAAAGAAGACATGATCATCAGATCTGCATGTAGCATAAAGTTGGAAGAGAGAGCTAGTAGCAAATGCAAAAAGATACCGCAGGCTGGGAGGATGGCCTGAAACCAAGAAAAATGTAAAAATTTGTATTAAAAAAAATCAAGTGTATAAGAACAGGAGGTGAAAAAACTGGTTCAGAAGCACTCCATGTGAGAAGACACAGGGAATGGTTCCCTGGAAGTTCTTGGTTTGACTATTAGCTTCTTTAATGAAGCAAAATGTCATTTCTAAACTGTCATATCCTTAAGGGCAGGGATCACATCTTAGATATCTTAATATCTCTCCTTTATCTAGCATATGGCCTAAAACAGAGTATGTGCTCAATATATCTTTCTGAAACAGAGTCAAAACTAAGAATGCCCAAAGGAACTGGCTCCACTAATGAATGGGCTGTGGTCAGAACCACCAGAGAAGGCTGTTTCAGTTGTTCTCTTATGTACAGTCTTTCTGACACTGTTCTGGGCTTTCTCCTCCCATTTTCTTCTTAAGATAAAAATCAAAATCTTTTGCATGATTTAGGAGGTTGGACCTCTTCCCCATTTGACCTCAAGCCCCACTTCCCACTGCTCTCTTCCTGGCTCACCTACTACTTCCACCCTTTGAACTCCTTCCAGTCTGCACACGTGCCAGTCTCTTTTCATGGAGCACTCCTTGCAGCCTCTCACGCTCACACACATGCACATACACTTTCCACCTGTTTAACCTGTTTCATCTCTGCTTGTCTTTTTAACCTCCCCTGAACCCACAGCCCAGGCTGAGTCCCTCTATTACATGCTCTCCCACTTCCCCAGCACTAAGCACAGTCATTATTCAATGCAAGCTATTATTCAGGGTTAATTATTGTTTCAAACCTGCCTTCCTGCTGGAGTGGAACCTCCAGGAAGGCAGGAACTTCAGCTGTCTTGTGTCTTAACCATTGTATGCCAAGCACCTGGGTCAGTGTTTCTCAGACTTTAATGTACCTGTGAATGATCTGGAGCTCTTTTTAACCTGCAGCTTCTGATTCAGTATGTCTGTGGTGGACCCTGAGGACCTGCATTTCTTGCAAGCTTCCAGGTGCTTCGGATGCTACTGGTCACCTGACCCACTTTGAGCAGCAAAGGCCTGTTGGACAGCCTGGCCTCTCATCTTCACTGCCTTTAAACCATCCCCAGCTTTCCATCCTCACAGCTACTGCCATAGTGGCATTTCTTGGTACCTCTCATCCAGATAATCTAGTCTCCCAGCTGGATTTTCTGCTTTAGTTTCCTAGAGGTCCAGCCCATGGGTCACATACTCTCAAAGTATCATTCTAAAATATAAACTTAATCATGTTGTTCCCCTTCTTTAAAAACTTTAGATGCGCCCTGTCAACTTGTAGAAAAAAAAAAAAATCCAAGGTCATCAAGGTATTGGCATGGCATTCAAGGCTCTATCATGAGCTTATCCCCAAATAGTTTTCCAATTCTACCTCTTCTATACCCTTATCTCACATTTCACATTTCTGCCCTATGAAAGCCTTTGTATTTCCTTGGACTCACTAGGCTGATCCATTCCTCCTATCTCTGCTCAGGACATTGACTTCCTGGAATACCTTCTCCCACTTCCATCCACCTGTCAAAGGTCTACATTCCTCTCCTGACTTCCCTCCATTATGTGAGAAGCTCTTTAGGGATTCCCCTCTCCAAGAAGAGTTGGCAGCTTTCTCATTAGGTTCTGTTATAGGTGCCTGTGCTTGACTGGCCTATTTACATGGCCGCCTCCTCCTTCTGGGCAGGGAGTCCTTCGATCACAAAACTGTATCTCATTCATCCTTGCTATTTTCGTGCCTCACACTTGGTTAGGACCTAAGAAATGTGTAACACAAATGAATTAATGCTATCATGCTCTGTTCCATATTTTTAAAAAGGATGATTTGACACAGGGGAGTCCTTCTAAGGAAAGAGCAGCAGTATTGGTCCAGAATATCTGTGACATGAGAAATGGTTTAAAGAATGATCTAAACATACAGCTTGGAGAAGAAAATGTGTCTGCACATAGTAGGCACTCAGTAAATATTTATTGAATGAAAGAATGAGTAAAATGAGACCTAAGTTCTCTCTTCACATGGAGTTGTCAGATGGAAGAAAGAGTACATGAATTTGAGTTTTCTGTAGCTTCAGAAGCTGGAACATTGTATCTAGGTCAGCAGATTTTAGTCCAATAATACAACACATTTCCTGATAACACCAAGACCTACCAAACTTCACTTCCACTAAGAGCCATCTAAATGAGCCCTTTATTTTGAAAATATAAAAACTAAGTAACATAACTTAGTCTCTGTACTAGTGTTATTTTTGTGGCAAATGACAGAAAAATAAAGTTGTGGGTGATTTAAAGCCTCTAATGGTGTCATCAGGACCCTCTGTCTCTTTCTCTTTCTCCCACCTTTTCCTGTGTGGCTTCAGTGTAGGAGCCCCACAGGTCTCGCACGTTTCTCCCCAAAGTAAAGGACAGCCTTTCACTCAGCGGCTCCTCTGACAAGACCAGCTGAGTGTATGGATGAACAAAGCCTCATGACCGCAGTGGGGGCTGTTCCCTGGAGGAACAGAAGATCACATGCTAATGCTAGACCCACTGCATCTCGGGGAGGAGACTCCTAGAACAAGGACAGGGCTGAGTGCAAAGGAGGGGGCAATTTCTCAGACCCAAGCTGGCTAAGAGTTACCCAAAGAATGACAAAAGTAGCAGTTATCTACTGCAGCCTGAACACTAATTCCTATCCTGAAACTTACAACTACATTCAACATTACATTTACACATAATACATGATAAAAATTCAATTTACAACCACTGGTTATTAAAAACTCTTGAGTAATGCAACTCATATTTGATTAACCTGATAAGAATTCACTATTCCTGTGACATAGACCAGATGACTTTTTTGCATGGACTTTCTTTATTCATTTTCTCCCAAAACATTATTGTATTGAGGATATAATGATGAGAAAAACTGTCCTCATGAAGCATATAATCTCATGGAGAAGGCAGCCAAGCAAAAAAACAATTGCAAAGAAGGTGAGAAGTATTGCAAGAAAATAACCTGTATCCATATTATTGTATCAAGATGTAAAATGATAAAGTGGAACAGTTTAATCAAGCTCCTTCATGAATAAATATCAGTTTTCCACGTTAACTTGATGAAGATGGCAGAAAGGCTATTTTTGCTGAAGTAGTTTCAGTTTTTTTTTCCTGACATATCTGAAGAAAAGGTATCTACTTGCTTGGAGTATCCAGTTTCAAACTCAGCAAAGACACCACTGTAACACAGCAGACACTGAAATCGGCACCTTCAGAGGCACAGAAAACATAACAGATTAGTTCAGGTCAAACAAGTGGCTTCTGTCAGTGGTTGGGGTTGTAAAGAACAAAAAGTAAGGAAAGTGAGGATATTGCCAATGTCTTGAATTCCACACCCCCTCAATCCCTTATGTTATCCTTAGTTCTGATGTGGGTCCTGAGTTTCACTTATTTTTCTCAGATTGATGCTTTCAGCTTTTTCTCCCAGGGAGTATGACCTCTGAGGTGTCACCTGTGCTGTGGTTATTCTTTTTTCTATCTGCAATGACATGGCATATGACTCAACCTTCAGAATTTGAAGTTAGTGAAAAGGTTTGGATGATCCTCACTCTTTTCCTGGGCAGAGAATAGCAATGCTTTATCTTACTTGCCACTCCAGCCTCCATCATATATTTCAAGTTATTTTGCTCCTGAATAATGGCAGTGGTAGCTGAATTACGAAGTTCACTGGAATTCTGATCTCAGCTTTTCACCTATTTTTAAAAATGTTTCCTGTTGCTTGTCAAATCTTAGTTGCTATTGTTAAGTAGCACACTGTATTTACAGTGAGTTAAGGAACATCAAGAAAACTGCTCTGGATTACTTTGTCAACTCTTTTACAGAAAGCACAGATGTACTACCCTCAGGTGACCTAGGAGGCAATGGGTTCCATTGTCATTGTTGGCCCACATTGTGTACCCAGCTGGACTGACATTTTAATTTCTGCCTCTTTTGTGCCTTCCATTATCCTGGGGAGCAAGGTATAACGTGTCTGGAATCACAATTTGTGGAACGTTAGTAAAATTTTGAAATAGGGCCAGGACTATTCAGTGCTTGGGATGGATTTCTTGGAGTCTCTCCAAATGTATGGGTTGTCCATTTGTGCCATGTGGCCAGACTTGAGTCTAGAATAGACAGTTAAGACAAAATTATGCCTACTGCAGGCTAGTTTTACAATGGAAAAAAACTGAAGGGACCAGTCTGGAGAGGGTTGCCTCTGTGCTTTAGAAGGTTTGTTCCATGGGGGAATGCCGCTTGAACATAGTAAGGCTTTAGGATCCTTAGGAGGCCGCTACTATATAAAGGATGATTTAAATGGAAAATGATCGCGAAGACTGAAAAACCTCTGGTTCTTGGCAAATGTTCTGTCTACTCAAAAGGAGTATAGTTCTATGTGATATATAAAAGCAGGGCATTTTGATTCAGCCTGAGTTAGTATCCCAGCAGCACCAGGTATCAGCTGTATGAATTTGAGAATGTTAACTTACTTCTTACAAAAAAGAGTGGTATTATGAAGTTAGGGTTAAATGAGTTATTACATATAAATGTTTAGCATGATAACTGACACATTCAAAGTGATCTGCCAAATCTTATAGACAACTTGAAAGATTATACTCTTAGGTTTTCAGGGTCCCCTTTGGG